TGATGGATCCATCAGGACGTCGGAGGGCAGTCATCTTGGTCTTATAGTTGGCGAAGGACAGGTGGGCGTTACGAATACTTTTCCCGGCTTCTGCCGCATCTACCAGTACTTCTGCTCTTCTCTCTTTGAGGTCTTCCTTGATCGCATCTCTGCACTGCTTTGCAAGCTCGGACGTTAGCTTGCGGTTGCCTGAGGCATGCGCCAAACCACGCTGGCGAATTAGCTCAAGAGTTTTCGAAGATAGGCGACTTTTTGTGGCTATCTCTCTCTTGGCGTTCCTCGCACATTCATGGAGGTGCTGAACCAGTCGATCGTATTCCTCGTCAATGTTGTCAACAATGGCATCTTCCCATGTTGCCGCAATAGTACCAAAGAGTTCCCAGTTGGTGGTCGTTCTGGGAGTTCTCTTTTTGAACTTTGCAGCCCTTTCTCCCCGCTCTGTGAAGTAGAATTTTGCACGAAGGAGACGGTGGTCCGATCCCATTCGAAATTTTGGGACAACAGCGACATCGGTCAGGCAAAACCGTCGATTGAATATGATGTGGTCTATTTCGTTGTGGAATCGTCCACCGGGAGACTCCCATGTCCATCGTTTAGATTCTGCCTTCTGGAACTGTGAGTTACCATGAATGGTCTTGGTCGACATGATGAACTCAGACAGTCTCTCACCCTGTTCGTTCCATTCTAGGCCATGGGTCCCGATGTGAAGTTCTTCAGCTGATCTTCTCGGTCCTATCTTGGCATTAAAATCACCCACAATGATCTTGTAGAAGGTGTGGTCTTCTTTATAGAACTTCTCTAGCTCCATGTAGAACTTCTCGATTTCTCTTTCATCATAATGAGATGTTGGTGCGTAGACAACGAAGATAGAAACTGCAGGCAGTGAGCCACATCTATTCAAATGTAAACGTCCGATTCGGGTTGTTAGGCATTCGAATGAATCAATGCTCTTGGCCAAGTTTGTGTTGACAAGGACACCGACGCCTCCAACACCTCTTTTATCGCATGTTCCGAGGAACAATTCTTCTCCGGTGTCGAAAACGGCATGGTGAGATTCGTGCCTTCTTGTCTCGGTCAGACCAACGATGTCGTACTTGATCATTCGCGCTTGTACCATCAGGTCCTCGATGGATGCATCTGATGCTAGCGTACGTGCATTGAAAGTACAGACGATCATTTTTGTCTTCCTTCGTTGTGGCAGCCTAGGTCGGCCTTGAGATTTTGTCGGCCTCTCCTTTCTCATCCTTCTTAGTGCTGCCATGTCGGTGAAGCCTTCAGGGTCAGGTGAATGAGACCAGTTGTAGTTACTTGGACTCCAGGCTCGGCGGACCCAGGGACAGAGCTTCTCTGCTTGCTCCCACCACCACAGGTGACAAAGGGATTCTAATCAGGAGCCCCACCCTACCCTGCCCTGTCTGCTTCCATCAATCACCCAGGGATCGAATTGTGCACAGGAGACCCACCCTACCCAGATAAATACCCCACTGGCAGATTTCCACTCTCGACACTACTTCCACTACCCAGCCGTCGCAACACTCCAGGATGCTTTCCGGACCCGCACGGCCGCACATCATAAGACACTAAATACCCATCTTCTGGAATTGTCGTACCATATTTGATAGGGTTCAAATATGGTAACACCTACAAGGGTGATTAGAGGTCACCCCAAAAGCCTCTATACCTCTCGGAAAGACTGGCAAGCTACCGAGAGTATTCCGCCTGCACGGAAGAGCCTGGCAAGCTATCCGCTGTGTATTCGATATGCCAAAACCAGTAACTACAACTGGTGATAATCACATTTAATTGAAAATGATGGTTCTTCACTCTTTAAGATTTTAGAGCAGGGTGTCTGAATATAATTTTCTTAAAGAATAGTTTTTCCCTAAACAATTTAGGATAAATTGTTTAAAATCTAAGTGTTTTAAGGCTTAGATTATTAATAAGTCATAGGTGTTTATAAAGGAATAGAAGTTCTCTATTTTTTTTGGTACCAAATTTGATAAGTGAGATAAGAAAAAACTAAATGAGGTTGAGTTTTATGGGAGCTGTTCTGGAAACAGTAAATGAAGCCTTTAAGCTTTCTCTTTTCAGTGCCATTTAATTTCATGAGTTCTAGAGAGGCTAGTTCTATGGGGAACTAGCTTTTAACTTCCTTTTCTTCAGATGCTGAAATCTACATACAATCAAATCATATAATCAGCAATAAATATTAACAAATTTTAATGTTTCTATCTTTTGTGGTTGCTTTTTGTATTGTTTTGGAAATTGCTATTTAAATCCAGTTCCACTTAATAGAAGTCTGTTTTCTTGACATAATGCAAGGAAGATGAAGGCAACAGGAGTGGGGATTTGTTTCTTGGTGATAAGGTTTATAATGACATGGTTCTTTAAATCTAGAAAGCACATAAAGAAAAACTGTCTCCCATAGGACATTAAGGTTCTTCTCCCTCACTCCCATAAAATTGTATGGGTTGTTTAATTATGCATGTATTATGACTGATCTTTCTCTTTGAGATAAATCTTTTTTGGGAATTGGCATCTGCATCTCTTAAGTACCTGTGCTCTAAATTCCACCTTTTTTTTTTTTTTTTGAGATCACCTTTTTGTAACTGAGAAGAAGGTGATGATTCCCACTTTGGGTGAGCAAACTTCGTGAAGCTGTGCCTGGCCTCAGATGATAAGGAACTAGTAGAATCTGAGTAGCTTACATCCAGTTTCAGTATTCTGGCCCTTGAGTTTCTTTTCAGAGAGTAGATTTTGCAGAGGTTGTTCTATAGGAAAGCAGGAAGCTTTAGGGATTTGGATACAAATATTTAAATATTTTCAGCCAATAGACAGAATGGAGGAGACACACATTTTTCTTCTCTGTCAAACTTGAGGACAGAGGTATGTTTTTTCTTTTTTAGTATAGTATAGATGAATGGTATGAATTTTAATTACAACAAGGCATAGATCATATTTTTGCTAATTTGACTGTACATGTTTGGGTTTTGACAGGAAAGGTAGATTTTTTTTTTTTTTTTGATGAAGATAATATTTATTACAGTTACTCGAGTAAGGAATAAAATGACCACAAGAGGGCTGGAGCAATAGCACAGCAGGTAAGGTGTTTGCCTTGCATGTGACCAACCCAGGTTCGATTCCCAGCTTCCCATATGGTCCCCCAAGCACCGCCAGGAGTGACTCCTGAGTGCAGAGCCAGGAGAAACCCCTGAGCACTGCTGGTGTGACCCAAGAATCAAAAATAAATAAAATTAAATAGATTTTAAAAAATAATAAAAAAATAAAATGACCACAAGAGGTTCAAGAGGATTTTTTCCCTGGCCGACCCGAGTGCAATTCCTCCGCCCCTCTCGGAAAGCCCGGCAAACTACCAAGAGTATCTTGCCTGCACTGCAAAGCCTGGCAAGCTACCCGTGATGTATTCGATATGCTAAACACAGTACCAAGTTTCACGATGGAGATGTTACTGGGCCCGCTGGAGCAAATCGATGAACAACGGGAGTACAGTGCTACAGTGCTATAATTTTGATGACTGAGGGGGACAGACACATGGTTGTGGTGCTGAACAGGGAATGGGATTAAACCATCCCTAGGTAGGACTGTAAGAGGAAATATTTAGAAATATCTTTTAGATACAGTGGGTAGAGCATGTGCCTTGAATGTGGCTGATCCACATTTGATCCCCAGCACCCATATAGTCCCCTGAGTCTTCCAGGAGTGTCAAAAAAAAAAAAAGTATCTTGTCTGTTGTATTCCACATAGTCAACAGTTGGAGGGCTCAGAGGGTTTGGTATGGTTGAGGAACCCTAAGCAAAGGAGGTGGGTGCTGAAGTCCTTAGTAGGTATTGGAAGAGCAGCTTCTGTCACTCTCTCCCGTATACAGTAGTTTTGTTGTTGTTGTTGTTGTTGATTTATTTTGTTATTGGAAATTCTAAAATTAATTTTTTGATTTAAACAATAGTCTATATGCATATTAGGCCCTCTTTGCATATTTTTGATTACAAGTTCATAATGGAAGTCATTCTGTGTGATTTTGTGCAGATAAATAAATCTTCCAGCCCTGAGGGGTATCTTTTCTTTTCCTATGTATTTCTAGAGATGGACAACTCAGTTTTTATGATTTTAGTTTTGGGGCCACATGTGGAGGTGCTTGGGAGATCATACCTAGGGCTCCCATGCAGAGAATGTGCTATTTCTCCTGGCCTAGTTCTTAGGCTTTTTACTTCTCAGATCACTTTTAAGCAAAGACTTGCTAAAATAAAATGAAATGTCACTGGGGACAGAATACTTACTGTGTATTGCTTCAGAAGTGTATAAGAGTCCCTGAGTTGAGTGACGGAACCTGGGAATGTGCTTTCAGAAGATGATCTGGCAGCAGAAGGGAGGTTGGAGACAAACAGACTTGGAAAGAGGCGGATTAGATTACGTCAGTACAGTAGAAAACCATTATCAGTTTGGTAGTCATGATAATGGATAATAAGATGCCATAATGTGATAGAGTTGGGTTTTGTAAGTTGTAAATAGGCTTGCTATTGGTGATAGTCTACTTTCACTGGAAGTGTTTTCTGTTCTTCTATTTTATTTTTGGGCTATAAGCAGTGATAGGGGATTATCATATGTGGTGCTGGGAATTGAATCAGAGCTGGTCATGTGCTGTACTGTCTGGCCCTCTGTTCTCCCTCTTGAGCAGTGATAATAGATTCTTCTTTGAGCTCTTACACTACCTTAGGAAAGCCACTTCTTGTCTTTTCTCATTAAAAAATGAGGTCCAAGTCATCTCTAAATTATTCCCCACTTATAGCTCTAAGTTCTTAATATTTATTTTGCAGGGAGGGAAAAGATATGGATGTAAATTGATTATTTTGAAAAAATCTAGTTGTGAACAGTTGTCACCTATGTAAGTCCCACTGGGCTTTAACACCTTTGTGTTAACTTTGAGGAGGAAAAAGTGAGACAGGCTGTAAGTTCAAAAGAAAGAGCCCACTCTTCTCTGATATTTAAATATTTATTTGTTTAAAAATAATTTTCATGGCACCAATGATTTTATGCTAACTACATACTGCATATGTAGAAAAAAGTACATTGTTTTGAAGGAAAAATGTAACGCAGAACTTTTGGCACACGGAAGGGTAACAACTATATATTTTTAAACCAAACTAAGAAAATTCACATTTGCAGGTAGTTTTACCCTCTACTGCTTAAAGATGCAGTATACTATTCATTATTAGTAAGAGTTATTTCATATGATAGATGAAGCTATGGAAACCATTGTTTTTCCTACAATGAGATCAAACTAACTTTGAGAGAAAATGTGAGACAGTAGTGGAACACAGTAAAATCAGGGTAAAAACTTTTTAACAACTCTTAGTGATGGGGTGGGGTGGGTACCAAAGAAGACTAGTCAACAACAAAGAAGGTTTGCTAATAAAGCACTACTTGAAAGCAAATAGAAGGAAACTTCTGTTTGTATTTTTTGGAATAAGCCCTGGGAAAAAAACCAAACCCCAGTTTCTATTCAGAGAGCAAAATCCAGCTGTTGGAAGTGGGATGGACTTTGTACTGTTAGAACTCTAGACACAAATGACACGCCAGGAAATGGAACACTGCAACTTTCTTTAATGTGAATATGAAAGGTCAGAGTTGAGACAATTACTCACTGCATAGAGACACCGTATTCTACAGACTGAGGTAGGAACACTACACTAAAAGGTAATCTGCTATGTTGCATAAGACAGTCGATATTCAGGTTAAAGCCAGCTCCATTTCCAGACAGCCTGTTCATCTTGGAGTATATTTTTCACTTCAGTCTTCTGCTAAATGAAAGTCCTTCCTTTGTTGATGACAATGGCAGTGACTAATTGATTCAAAGTGATCCTTGATCTTTCTGGGATTGCCCTTAGTTTGTCTTATCACTTGGTAAATAGTTGTTTGCAATTCTGTTCAAATCGTTGCTGTCATGGACATGGTCAGATAGGCCCTCTTTCATTCTTAGCCTTCCCACATTTTCGTATTCCAGTACTTGACTTGCTCATCTTGGCCTCAGACATCTCTTTGCTGGTTGAACACCCTTTAAATAAGCAACTTCTGTGCTTCCACTGAATGTCATGAATTGGACTGGAGCTGACCCTCTTTCTGCTATCAAACTGGTATGGAACAGTTTCATTTACTAGAGCAGGTTGACATGAGGGCCAAATTATGCTCATCATCTATATAAAGTTAAGTTGGAATATAGCCATGCTTCAATTTATGTATTGCCTATGGTCGTTTTTGTGCTATGATAGCAGAGCTGAGTAGTTGCCACAGTATGGCCAACAAAAGCAAAATTTAAAATGTTTATGACCTGGCACCTTACAGAAGTTTGCCAACCCCTGGTCTAGATGAAACAGCATTTACAAGTATGGAACACTTTCATCCACTTCCCCCAAAGGAACTCTTTTTTTCCACAGCTGCTATAGTCTAAAGATGGTTTTGGTCCTGCCATCTCAGGCGACAAGCTGGTCTCTAAATTACCTATTCTGTTCTGTCCAGTATCGTAAGGGGGTCAGAATCTACTCTACTGTTGTGTAGGCCCAAGGAATTTGTTCAACATCGTTCTTAAACAAGGACCTAGGCCCTAGGAATCTCTCCCTGAGATGCAAACAAGGTCTTGTGTGTATGATTACTTGTAAGAGTTGCAGACTTCGGGTCCCATACTCACCCATTGCATGCTCCCTCACCTTGCTTCCTTAAGCAAGAGTCGCTGGGGCTTTGCTACAGTTTCTCTGGGTGCAGAGGAACACTAGGGGGCAGTAGTTCTACATCTAAGTGCTGGTCTCTGCCACGTTCATTTTCTTTTTGCAGGTATTAGTTAAAAATTCTAAGAGATTCTTTTCCGGGTCCCTTCCAAGGCTGTTTGTTGATCTTGCAATTCTATTTTCTGAAGTTTTCACTCAGGAACATTTTATTTCTGAATTCGTTTAGTTCATCAGGCTCTAGTTTCTTAATCCATAAAAGTAAAAACAAAATTGCTAAGAAAATAATATCTTGTTGTTAAAATATAAATTGAGTATTCTCTCTTTTTGAGGAGAAAGTGTATAAAATAAGTGCTGCTCTCTGAATCTGAATCTCAACAGTCTGTTAGGCATCGTAGCTCTGGCTAACATCGAGAGGTTGGACTCTGACACCACCGACTCCGTCTAACGTCTCTAGAGCACTGAGTCTTGAGGTTCTTCAGGAGAAAAATCACAGAGGTCTTAAGTTCATTATACAAAACTCATTCCGCTGCCCACTAGGATCTAGTCTAAGGGGATAGACTTACCCCACCCCTTCTGCTGCTGCTGCGGTAGTGGTGGTCCCTTCAGTTGCCCACTCTGCTCAGATTCGGGGGGGAAAAAGGGAAAAGAAAATCCAACTCAGACCATCATAAGAAGCATTTCTCATTTAATCATTCTACATGGCGGTTACTTTATTAAAAGCTCTGTCTGGCGAGAAAACCAAGACAGTTCCCGTTGTCCAGCCCCCTTGCCTGCCACTGCCCCATAGGAAAGCTGCGGAGAACAGAAACGCAGCGCCCTTGGCTTCAGCTAGTGTCCCACTGCTTGGTGACACTACTGTGATCATCAGTAATAGTAAAATAAATAATTTTTCATTTGATACTTTTAAAATAATACACATCTATGAAAAATCAAAATTCAAAACCAAAAAATTATCCGGCAAATTGGGAGGATGAGAGTCGCCGAGCCTTTCTCGAGAGGACCTCTGAAGGGAATGAGTTTTCCCAGTTTGTGTGGACAGGGCAAGAGCCCCTCCCTTTCTTCTTCTGGGAAATGACCCTCCTAGGCTGTGGACTTTGAGTCATGAGAGGAGGACTTGGTGCATGTGCCGATGGTTCCGCGATGGTTCCCATTGCTGGGATGGGGTAGCCGGGCTCCGGGGTCCACCTGGCTAGTTATTGGGAGGAGTCATGCCTTCTCAGGTGTCAATGAGCAGGCTCACCACTGAGCGGATTTTGCAGGCAAACCATCGCCTGAGGGGACAAAAGTATTGATAGTGGAATTGTTCAAACTCAGGGGTCTGGCGGATATCGCGGAAAAAGGCAATGTCAAGGTCAGACTCAGTAAGGATGATCAGGAGGAGGAGCAAAACAAAGAGGAGTCCCATGGTCACAAGGAGCAAACGGAGGACACTTAAAACAAACTTATTCACCTGTTCCTCCTCTGGCCTGCCGTGCCCCTGACACAGGGCCCTCAGCTCTCCTCCTAGGGCCTCCATCTCCGAAGCAGTGGGAGTGCTGGCCTCTGACTCCTTCTCCTCCTCGATGCTGCACGTGGCCCCATTGATCTGCCGGGAGAGCAGCATCAGCTCCAGGCTGTGCTCAGCCACGGGCGTGGGCAGCACGCTGTCTGCAGGGCTGTAGGCCTCGTCCGCAATCACAGCGACTCTCTCGTTGCTGTCTGCCCGGCTGCTTCTCACGTGAGGCAGGAAGGTGTCCCCGTGGGAGGAGGAGCGGACGGGGGTGGAATGGGCACTGTCCCGTAGGGACTCTAGGCCTGGAAGGGCAAAAGAGACATGAGTCAGCTTTCCGTATTGTCTGATGGGGATGTGCTAATGATGGTTGTTGGATTTGTCTTGCCAGGGCCTTCCCAGTGATGGTACCTGGTGCACACACTCTAGTCCTTTGACCTACCTCTCAGCTCAACACTCATTGTTGCAGGATAACATTGGCTTGTCCTTTCTCCCTTGCCACAGGGAGCTTAGGTTTATCGGGTTATACCCATCACAGTGCTCCCGAGTCACTCTCATTCCTCTGTTTATCTGTAAACTCTTCTCTGTGCTCTCCTCCCCAATCAGCTAATCACCTTTTTTCCCTAACCAGATTCTGTTAGCTTGTAAGATCAGATCCTTCTAAGGACACTGAACTTGTATTGTAAATTATGTCTTTTGCATAGTTTACCTTAAAGCAATGTTCTTTCTGTATGGACACAGGAAGACAGCTATATTATGCTTTGTAACTTGGGAGTTGATTGACTCCGAATAATATTTACTCCTGGGCATCTGCTTTCTTGACTCAGTTGCCCTTAGTTCCTAGCACCCCAAAAGCAGGGTTCCAATGAGGGACTGAATGGACCCAGGACAAGCAGTGAGCTACCCTGGCATCAAAATGGGCCAGGCCAAAGCACCACAATACTCCATGCTAAGCAAAATGAGTCAGAAAGAGAGGGATAGACATAGAAAGATTGCATTCATCTGGGGAACATAAAGTAACAAAATAGGAAACTAACAACCCTAGAATAGCCGAGATAAGTACCAGGAGGTTTACTCCATGGCTTGGAGGCCAGCCACACATGCTAGGGGAAAAGGCAGCTTAGATAGAGAAGGGAGCACCAAATAAAGGGTGTTGGGAGGATCCTCCCAGGATGGGAGAAGCATGCTGAAAGTAGACTCTAGACTGAACATGATTGCCACTCAATGCCTCTTTTGCAAACTACAGCACCCAAAAGGAGAGAGAGAACAAAAGGGAATGCCCTGCCACAGAGGTAGAGTGGGATGGGGGGGATGGGGGGGTGGGAAGGATACTGGGATCCGTGGTGGTGGAAAATGGGCACTGGTGGAGGGATGGGTACTTAATCATTGTATAATTGAAACCCAAGCACAAAAATTTGTTAAGTCTACAACTGTACCTCTTGGTTTGTCACTAATAAAAATGTAAAAAAAAAAGCGCCACGATACTCAACTATAAGTTGAGGGCATGATCATGGACAAATGCTGTCATGATCCAAAGGTAAATAACGATGAGACTAAGACCCTGCTGGGGCTAGGAAGACTAACCTGGCCTGAGGACTGTGGAAAGTTTATATCTCTTACTGTGCTCATACAGAATGACATTGCTGGAAGTATTGGAAGTTAGATTTACTACTATTTAAGTAGATTACTAGCTGAAGAAAGAACCCTTGTTGGGATCCCACCCTTGAGCAGATCTCCTAGTAATCTGAGATTTTATCCTTAAATTAATCTCCTCGAGGAGTGGTCTCACCTCTCTTTGTTGATTTGTTGATGTTCAACCCACCTTTGTGTCACCACCCTAGGTGATTGCTATATGAACTAAGACTGTAAGCTCAGAGGGGGCTTGGGCTTGAGAGAGCAGAGGCTGAGGCTGAGGCTCAGGCTCAAGAGAAGGCACAGGCAGGAGGCTGAGTCTTGGGCTCAGACTCGGGCTCGAGCTCGGGCTCCAGAGGGCAGAGTCAGAAGTGAGAGGGGCTCAGGATTGAGAGAGAAGCAGAAGAGGAGTGAAGATTGGAACAAACTACAATTGATACTGACCAGCCTGGCCCTCGTTCCTTCCTTAGCCTGCCCATCGCCATCAACCTCCTCGGGTTGGGGAAATGGCTCGAGACTACTGAACGCGGGTGGCGGGAGAGAGAGAGCACCACCAGATTTTTGAAAACACACAATTGTCTTGTTTGGCTGCGTCAGTCTTAAGAGGAAGCCCTTAAGCCCTTTGTATGCCTAACAGCAGGGGCTGCTGTACTTCATTGGATGTAATAAGGCTAGGACAAGAGAATAAAATATCGAATAAGCTCAACTACAGGGTCAAAAGATCTATCCATTAAGAACTATGACAGATTGATTAAAGAAACTGAAGACAAAAATATAGGAGTCTGTGCTCATTGATTAAAATACTCAATACTGCTAAAATTTCCTTATTCACCAGAGCCATTTCAAGATTTGATGTTCTCCCCATTAAAATTCCAAAAGCATTTTCCATAGAAATGGAACAACCAATTGTAATATTTGTATGGAACCACAAAAGACCCTCAAGAGCCAAAGCAATCTTAAGAAGGAAAAGTTGGCACCATTATGCTTCCTCTATTTATTTATTTATTTATTTATTTTCCTTTTTGGGTGACACCCAGCAATGCTCAGGGGTTACTCCTGGCTTTGCACTCAGGAATTACTTCTGGCAGTGCTCAGGGGACCCCACAAAAGACCCTCAAGAGCCAAAGCAATCTTAAGAAGGAAAAGTTGGCACCATTATGCTTCCTGTATTTATTTATTTATTTTCCTTTTTGGGTGACACCTAGCAATGCTCAGGGGTTACTCCTGGCTTTGCACTCAGGAATTACTTCTGGCAGTGCTCAGGGGACCATATGGGATGCCAGGGATTGAACCCAGGTCGGCCGTGTACAAGGCAAATGCCCTACCCACTGTGCTATTGCTCTGGCCCCATGTTTCCTGTTTTTAAACTGTATAACAATGTAGTAATCAAAATGTGGTACCAGCATAAAACAGACATGCATCCAAGAAACTGAATAAAAAGCCCAGAAATAAATCAAACCATATTGATTAATTTTTGACAGAGGAGCCAAGAGAGAAAAGAATCTCTTTCACAACTGGTGCTGGGAGGGGCTGGAGAGATAATACAGTGGGTGGGGTGCTTGCCTTTCACACAACCAACCCATGTTTGATCACTGGCACCACCTATGGTCCCAAGAGCACTGCCAGGAGTGGTTCCAGAGTGCAGAATTAGTGGTTCCAGAGTGCAGAATTAGGAGTAACAGCTAAGTATTGAGAAGCGTGACACCAAATCAAAACCAAACCAAAACCCAAAACAAATGGTGCTGGAAAAACTGGATAACCTTGTGCAAAAACAATGAAGCTGCAGGGGCTAGACAGGTAGCTCAAAGACCTAGTGCAAGTTTTGCAATGCAGATGGCCTTGGCTTTAATCCCTGTCACTATGTGGTCAGAGTCTTTGAGTAGCCACTGCAGGGTGTAGTTCAAACATAAATGAAACCAATAAATATATAAATAAAGGGAACTATATTCAAAAATCAACTCTTAATGGATTAGAGACTTGAATGTAAAAAACTGAAATAATAAAATTCCTAGAAGCAGTAAACTATTTGACATCTCTCTTGGCACTGTTTTTGTGGTTTCTGGGCCACACCTGGTGATGCTCGGTTCCTGGTGATGCTCAGGAGACCGTATGTGGTGCCAGGACTGAATCGGGACCAGTTGCATACAAGGTAAGGGGCCTTGGCCTCTGTACTCTCTTCTGACCAGGTAAAATGGAGTTTTTTTTTTTTAATCTGACTGCAAACACAACATAAGTTAAAATAAGCAAGTGGAGAACCATGGAGGTAATCCAAAGGCCTGGGAGCATGCCTGGGGGACCCAGGGTTTAGTCCCCAGCACAATACGGTTCTTACCACTAACATGATAGTAGCACTGTAGCACTGTCCTCCCATTGTTCATCAATTTGCTTGAGCAGGCACCAGTAATGTCTCCATTGTGAGACTTGTTGTTACTGTTTTTGGCATATTGAATACACCACGGGGAGCTTGCCAGGCTCTGCTGTGCGGGAGAGATACTCTCGGTAGCTTGCAGGGCTCTCCGAGAGGGACAGAGGAATCAAACCCAGGTTGGCCATGTGCAAGGCAAATGCCCTACCCACTGTGCTGTTGCTCCAGCCTGATGCTCGCGGGGGGGTCCAAGTCCTTCTGACACGATAGTATCAAACTAAAACTGGGGACTGGAGATAAAGGACATTTGCCTTGCATGAGGCTGGCCTAGGTTTGATCCCTGGAACCCCATATAGTACCCCCTAGCCTCACCAGAAGTAAGCCCTGAGCTATGCTGGGTGTCTATCAAAAGCCAAAACAAAAAGACCAAAAAATCCTTCTGCATAGCAAAAGAATAAAATTTAAAGTCAGTCCACTACATGGGGCTGGAGAGATAATACAGTAGATAAGGCATTTGGCTTTGCACACAGTCATATATGGTCCACCATATATGGTCCCCAAAACCCAGCAGGAGTGATCCCTGAGCATAGAGCCAGGAGTAAGCATTGCTAGTTGTGGCAAAAAGAAAAAAAAAGGCAAACCACTACAGAGAAAATCTGCAAATAATATCTAGTAAGGGATTAATATCCAAGATGTATAAAGCAGGTTTGTGAATCAACAGCAAACACCCTAAACAATCTGATTATTTTTAAACTTTCATTTGTCAGATTTTTAATTATTTTTGGGTCACACCTGGTGATGCACAGGGGTTACTCCTGGCTCTGCACTCAGGAATTACTCCTGGCAGTACTCGGGGGGCCATAGGGGATTCTGGGAATCGAACCCGGGTTAGCCACGTGCAAGGCAAACACCCTCCCCACTGTGCTATTGCTCCAGCCCCAACAATCTGATTTTTAAAATGGGCGGGTGCAGGAGCAGTAGGACAGGAGTTAAGATTCAGGTCTTGCATGCAGCTGTTTATTATTTTATTTTTTTTGCCACACCTGGTGGTTTTCAGGGTTTACTGCTGTAGAGCTTGGGGGATCCTATGGGGTGCTAGGAATTGAATATTGGTTGTCCATGTGCAGGGCAAGCACCATGCCTGCTGTGCTGTTGCTCCAGCCCCATGACTTTGGTTAGAGCCCTGGAACCACATGGTCCCCAGAGCATCACTTGTGCAGCCCTACACCTCTGGAATTACCCTGGTGGTCAACAGCATTGCATTCTCAGGCCCTTGCATCAAACTGTTGCCTTAGTTTGCTGAGAATTGTGAGAAAACCCCAGGCCCCCTAAACACAGCTAGAAGGCCATCAACAACAACAAAAATGGGAAGAGGTTCTGAACAGACCTTTTTCTAAAGACATACAGATGACCTCAGGAACATGAAAGCTATTTAACATCATTACTTTCTAGGAAATGCCGATAAAAATTACTATTAAAATTACCATTAGTATAAAAAAGTATAAAATTAGTAAAAAAGTATAAAAATTAGTATAAAATTACTATTAAAAATGCAGATGAAGATTACTATTAACTACTATTATCATACTCGTTTGAATGGCTTTTACCAAGAGACAAGAAAGCAAGTGCTGGCAAGGATGTGGAGAAAGGGAAGGAAGAAAACAGTATGGAAATTCCTGCAACAATTGAGAAAATGAATCATCCAGCAATTCCATTTCCAGATGTTTATTCAAAGAAAACAAAGCCATCTGCACCCTCAACTTCCCAGCAACATTATTAATAGCCAAGATAGGAAACCAAGTGAAGTGTCCACACACGTCCTCTCTCATTATTCAGCCAAAAGAAGGAAGGAGATCTTGCCATCTGCAACAATCTGGACCAGCCTCCTTTATGATATTGTGCTAAATCCATGTGATCTCACTTTGATGTGAAATCTAAAACGAAACATGGAACAAGTTGCTTACAGAAACAAGGAACAGACCACTGGCTGCCAGAGTCAGGGTGAAGGACAAGGGACACGGACTAAGGGCTCAAACTTCCAGGTATCAAACAAGCTTTAGGCACGTGGTATTTAGCAGGTAACGCGTGTGGATAAAGCACCGGCGTGGATACTATCATAAGTTTTCATTAAAAAGTTTTATAATTTTGGAATCAATGTTAACTAGAGTAACTCTGATCTTTTTACAATATAAATAGCTTTTGAATCATGTTGAACCCCCGCAACGAATGTTGTGTCTCAACTACAGCTAACGAAAAAGAAGCAAAGGAAAATGGGACAGAAGCAACAGAAGTGAGGGCAGCCTTAGTTCGATTCTGCCTTGCTTGCCTTTGATGCCCAGGGCATGGCTTTGGTTCCAGGTTTTTGTTGTTGTTGTTGCTTTTTGGGTCACACCTGGTGATGCACAGGGTTTGCTCTTGGCTTTGCACTCAGCAATTACTCCTGGCAGTGCTCAGGGGACCATATGGGATGCTGGGAATCGAACCCGAGTCGGCCGCATGCAAGGCAGACACCCTACCCACTGTAAGACCCTCCCAGATGGGGTCACAGTGTGTTCTGCTGAACTCTGCTCCCCCAAGTGCTGCTTTTGACCTTGAGTGCCCCTATAACAGTTCAGCCTGCCACTCATGGCTTTGGGCTCATGAGCTCACCCTGCATTTATGCAGCTGCTGCCAGTGTCTCCAGACTCCTGGCTCTCACTGTCCTGACCTTGCGGGACGTGAGAATCCATCGGTGTGTTCTCTGGTGGAGAGGAGCTGTGGGTCCAGCCAGCTCCTTATCTTTTGACACTCTGGAGTGCAAAGCTGCCTCTGAGATCTTATTGGGTTAGGAGGAAGGAATCTCTTATATTGTTGGAAAAAAGGGCCTCTGGCTCCTAAAACGATCCTCAGCTGGAATACTTTTCTCTTTCTGGGGCTGGGGCTCTGGCAGGGAAAAGTAAGAGTCAGTTATGGGCTCAATGAAACAAGTGCTACCCCAGGCCAGAAAACACTGGGTGGGTGAGTGGGGTCTGCATCACAGTGCTGCCCGGGATGTGGCTTCTTCTTTCAGATTCAGGGCCTGCATTTTCCCTTTCTGACCACCAACATGGAGTTGTACTGGCGTTCCCTGTCCGTGTGACCTCTGACAGAAATGCCCCCTTCCCACTGTGGCTGTGAAAGGTACCCTGATCGCCCTCAGCTCAGGACCAGTCACCTATGTGTCATGTTCTCTTTTGCAAGATGCCAGGGACCTTTCAGTCACATGCTCTCCTCTTTGGCACTTGTGTGTGCTATTTGCACCCAGGCAGCCACCTGCCACAGCCTGTCTCTACCATGCACTGCCAGATTCTCCAGAAAAATGAACTCTAGATTGCAGGTTAATGAATCTACATACGTGAGTGGGTGGAGACGGCTGCAGTCCCCCTGCTCTACAATCACTTCATCATTCATGTAGTTGTTACAATTTCTTGTGGGTAAAGTTTCACTTTGTTTGCCCCTATGCTCAAATCTTATATTTGTATACCTCACTCACATAATACTGTTTTTAGCATTTTATCTTCCACCAACTCCATGAAAGAGTTAGTGCCGGAATTATGGAACTTCGCTTCAAGTCCTGTAGCTTGGCTGATTCTGGCAAAGTCAAGGATAGAATCCAGCTTGGTTCTATTTCCTGATGCTGTGGGCCATGTGCTTTGATTCCTGGCAGTGCAACAAGAGACGATAGTCAGTCAGCCGTCTGCCTCAACTTTAGGTTCCGGATGCCCACGAAACCTAAGACATACTATGAAATTAAGAGCCGGGCCTTTGTGTTAGAGTCCTTGATGTTGCATTGACTATGATGTTTCCCCCCAGTGCTCCCCCTGATTGCTCCATTTGTGCAGCTGAAGTGTGACTGGAAAGAGGCCCCCATTGCAGTAAGACTGAGCCCTCCTGCCCTTGTCACAGGGAGCCGGTGGGTGGCGCTGTTCCCAGGCTGGCTCCCCCTTTTCTGGAATCCCTGCCCCTCATAGGGAAACCTCTTACAGGCCTGGCTTTCCGAAGTATGGCCACTGTAGCTGCTGGAAGCCACTTCCCTGCAAGTGTGGCTTGGCCTATAATGAAGCCCTGGGCTTGTTGGGGCAGTAAAAGCCACAAGATGACACTGAGAAAACAAACCAGAAAGTCCCCATCAGCCACATCACAGAGAGTAACTGGTGTACTCAGCCAGCCCCACTGTGGTTATGCCCATTTCTAGTAGGAAGCCTGACAAAATTAGTAAGTTACTCTCTTGATCTCTTGACAAAAGACATTTTGAGGTCATTATCCTGTGTCTATTTTCCCTAGAAACTATCTCTCACTTCACCCTCACAGCAGAGCTGCTGGGCTGGGTTGGGGTATAGCAGCAAACATCAGGGTTTTTCTTTTTTACCTTGGAGGTGCTCCAGCTGATCATCTTGGCCCCGGGTGGCAGCGAGTGGGCTGGGTAGCACAGTGGTCAGGAGTCTACACTGGAGCCTGGGTCCCAACCTCAGGATGCGTACGCTCAAGGGCCGAATGCAGTGGTTAGTTAACCGGAGCTGCACAGGGACTCTGGTGTGAATCTTAATCACACTCTTCCCCATGGTGGCTGAGTGCTTCTCTGTGGAAAACTTCTGATCTCTTCATGGAAAACAGCTGGGCAGAGTTGTCCGGAAGGGAAGGATGGAAACCCACCTGCTACCTGAGGGTTCTGCTTCGCTCACAGAGGCAGCCCCTTCTGTGAGCAGCTCACCCTGGAGAGGGCTGGCAACTCTGCAAGCTCCTAGCAGCCCGGGCCTGGGAAGCAGAGGCTGAGAGGCTGATGTTATCAGGGCTGGGTTCTGTCTGGAGCACTAAGAGCCATAAAAAGTAACACTTCTGCAGCCAGTAGCCATTGCTGGGATGCCTGTGTAAGGGCCTGGATCTCTCAGAGCACGAGGGGCAAGGAGGGCAGGGAACAAGCCCAGATGAAGGTCAGAACTGCCCCTGAAACCCAGGACATGAAGCTGCAAAGATATGCGGTTGTAGCTTTGAAGTGTGTGTGTGCGGGGGGCAGTGGCCATGACCCTCCTCCTGTCCTGGAAGGAGGAAGGTGCTGGCACACCAGAATTACCCTCTCTGTCAACTGAGAGCAGCGAGCAGAGCCAGCCAAAGCCCAGCCATTGTTCTCAAGGGCCCTGAGTTGTTGACATTGCATGGTTTCATGTAAGCTGACATGTTAATGTTTTGTGATTTTCCCCCATTATTTTGTGAGCTGGCAAAGCTTTTCCCTTGAAAGGTCAATGGCTCCTTGTGACACTAATTTTGCATATGGACTCTAGGAAAGGGGATTTCTGGTGGTGCACCATCTTCTGTCAAATGCCCATACTGTGCTGGGAGTTTGGAGACTTGCACCCTCACGAGGTCCTGTGACAACTCCCCATGCTGCTGCCTGTTTGGGTGGGTGTGAGGCTAGGCTGTCTTTGTAGGGGCCTTTATAGACAGCACCTCACTTTAGGCATTGTGCTCAGGGGACCATGAGGTGCCTGTAATTGAACCTGGGACTCCAGCATGTGTTCCCACTTTTTTTTTTCTTTTTGGGTCACACCCGGCATTGCACAGGGGTTACTCCTGGCTCTGCACTCAGGAATCACTCCTGGTGGTGCTCAGGGGACCATATGGGATGCGGGGAATCAAACCTGGATAAACACCGTAGCCACTGTACTATCACTCCAGCCCCTGTTTTCCCATCCCCCACCCCCTTTAAGTCACTCCCTGGCCCAGACTTCCTTTTGAGAAGCTGTACCTGGAAAATAATCCTCCTCATTTTTTTTTTAAATTTTGGTGGTGGGGGACCTTCCTGAGTGGTGGTCAGAGGGTTCTTGCCAACTAGCACAGGCAGCAGCAGCTGATCCAGCCCTTCAATCCAAGAGTTTCCATTTGTTGCTTAACTACACCTGCCACCCTGATCCTTTAATTGTGATAATCGATCTGAATTGGACAAGTTTCAGAAGTACATGGAACTTGGTAAGTCACACATACTCGTCTCTCCAACACACTCAGGTCTATGACCTCCTCCTGGTCTGTAGCTCTCAGAGCTGCAGGGGTGGGGGTGTCCCTCTTTACCTTACATCCAGCTGCTGTGCCCGTCCACCATCCAAGAAACCTGCCACTGTGTCTAATGCAAATTAGGTTCTCCCTGAGGTTCTGAGGCCCGTTGGGGCAGTGCCCACAGCATAGCCTGCAAGCACTGGTGGCCGTCCCAGCGCTTCTGCTCACCTTCCATGATGGAGATGTGAACTGCTCTTCTCCTGGTCCTGGGAACGCTGCTCAGCCGGGGACCATGGGTTATGGACGGGCAGCTGCGACTGGGAACCATCCCTGATCTGGGGTTTGAAAGAAAACTCTTGTCAGCTTAGCGCACAGAGGCACATAAAGTTGGAACTTAAAGCTGAGGAGCGGCCAACGGAATTGCCTGGCTGGTTTATTTCATTAAAAATAAAGATCTTTACCTGGCTTCTGTCTTTATTATTTTTCTTTTCTTTTTTTTTTGGTCACACCCAGCGATGCACAGGGGTTGCTCCTGGCTCTGCACTCAGGAATTACCCCTGGCAGTGCTCAGGGGACCATATGGGATGCTGGGAATCGAACCCAGGTCAGCCGCATGCAAGGTAAACACCCTACTCGCTGTGCTATTGCTCCAGCCCCTGGCTTTTGTCTTTAGATCCTGGAACCTGGTCAACAGAAAGCTTAAATTCGTCTACCTTTTTCTTTCTTTTCAAAAAAAAATCTTTTTTGGTGGGGTGGGGATAAGGGTGGGTCACACCCAGAGGTGCTCAGGGAAACATGTGGTGCTGGGGATTGAACCCTGGTTGGCTGTGTGCAGGGAAGTGTCCTGCTCCATGTACTATTGCTCTGACCCATCCCATAAGTTTTCTCCTGTGTGATAGTGGCAGCCTGGTCTGTGAGGGATAGTCTCAGGATGAGCAGTCCTCTGGAAAATATGTCCAGAGACCAATGTTGGCAGTGTCCTCTGGCCCCTTGCAGGCTGCTGGTGGCAGCGAACTCAAGGGGTGGTTAGTCACACCCCTATTCCTGTTGTTAGGCTGCTTGATGGCTCCATTAGGAGACCCAAGGCCTTCTCAGCATCTAGGAGATGGGCTCCTGCAAATGTCTGCTTGACAGTTCCATGTAAAAACATGGACCTCGAGACTTATAGATCCAGAAGGCTGTGGAGTTTCTGGGCTTCCCGTGAATTCAATGAGATATTGATGCATGGACACTGTCTATGCCCTAATTCAGCACTTGGGAGGACAGAGGACAATTAACCAGAGGTGGCATCTGGTCTGCCGACACTGTTTATATCATTCCTCTCTTCTCATTCTCCACTAAGATTTGGGCTACCAGGATTAAAGCCTTTCCCTAAAGATTTCCTCACCCTTTCCCTTTCTCCCTCCTTGTCTGGATACCATTATAGCAAGAATCTGTGTGATTCTTAAATTGCTGACCCCTGAGATCCTAGGATCTGAGCTGAAATGGGTTTGGGGGGAAAGCCTCTGGCAGCTCACCTGTGTATTTCTGGAGGCTCCCGTTTGATCTTGGCACTTGACTCCATCACTTCCTTTGCGACTCGGCCACTAGAAATAGTGTGAGAAACAAGTAGCAAGAAATGAGACAGTGTCCCAGGACAGGCTCTTTCCCAAGCTCTGAGCTACTTTGGCTGAAGTAGGAAATGGCCTTGTTGGTCCACCCCTTCCCAATGTTTTAGTCACTGAGAGAGGCTTGTTTGCAGGGCCAAAGCGTTCTAAGCTGTGGCACATGAGCTTATCTCAGAGTTCACTATCTCTGGGGTCTTTGGGATCTTTCATTCACATTTGGGAATGATTCCTCACCGTCCAGCATGCTCCAGAAATGTTACAAGGAAAAGGTCTTTAGACATAAAAAGAATGGTATTTAGTTTGCTGCTGTTTATAAGAGCAGGAGAAGAAACACATTTGAAGCCCCACATATGGGCAGCTTACAGGGGAAGAAGGAGAAGTAGCCATAGGATTAGGAGGTGGGAGAGTTGGAACCTCGAGCTTTTCTGGAGGTTCCCAGTATCTGTTCTAGGGGATGCATGTTCCAGAGATGGGTCGAAGGATGGGCTCATGATGGTTACTTACTGTCACTACTTACCTGTATCGGAATCGGCTCCCTTTAAAGAATAAGTTGCTGCTGGACACTGTGCGAACTTGACTTGATTTCTCCAGCCTGCAGCAAGGTAAGGCCCCGTTTCACACAGGCGAGGGTAGGGCCATCCCAGCTCCCCCAAAGGAAAAGGCCTGTGCAGCCCTCCTTGGTGCTGACTCTCCTCTGGGATCTAAGGACTTTATCACGGCCTCAGGGACAGGCATATTGAATCCCATGTCAGGAGAGTGAGGACTTCCCAGAGTGCTTTTAGGGCTCACCAAGGGACTGAAAATAAGTGTCAGGACCGATGATCTGAGGGGAGAGCAAAGTACTGATCTGATCTCAGCACTTAACACTTGTGTGCAGTTGACCTTGGGTCTATTCTTCCCCTCCCATCCTCAGCCTTATCACTGTCACTGTCACTGTCCTCCCGTTCTTCATCGATTTGCTCCAGCGGGCCCAGTAACATTGTGAGACTTGTTACTGTGTTTGGCATATTGGATACGCCATGGGGAGCTTGCCAGGCTTTGCCGTGGGGGCGAGATACTCTCAGTAGCTTGCCAGGCTCTCCGAGAGGGGCGGAGGAATCGAACTCAGGTCGGCCATGTTGGCTGCGTGCAAGGCAAATGTCTACCCACTGTGCTATCGCTCCAGCCCCCTCAGCCTTATAAGATGGAGAACTCTTGGCCTCAGCACTCCCTTCTGACCTGAGTTCACTGATATTGTTCACATCTCAGTAAATGGTGGATGACAAGCAGGGGCTGACTGTCAGATTGAAAACTGAGAGCACTGGCAATGAGGAAACCAGCTTAACTTTACAAAAGCTGCGTCACCATTTACTTGAGCTTGGAGCCATCCTCCCTTCCTTCCACAGTCTTTGAACCCAGGTGCAGACCACTGAGGGGGTGTTGGGAAACCTCCCTGTGACTGACACCTCCCAGCGTCTTGGCCCTCTCCCATGTAGACAAGGAAATGTGCTCAGAGCTGGCAGAGAGGGGTTTCCCCTGGACCCCGCTCAGACCACAACATGCCTGAGGTCCTGGCAGTGCCACGCCAGCCAGGATTACCAGGCAATCTAGGGAGCTGGCTTGCTTGCACACACAGCCCAGTCTCAGGACTTCTTGCCTGAGAATGGTTGTTATTCTGACACAGATCCCTTCAAGGCATAAGGCCAAAGCCAGGCTGGGGCCCTGCACATGAGATGCACCAAGGGAGACCCATGTGGCAGCTCCCAGAGACGTGGCACAACTGGGATATGACCCACTTAATGAGAACATTAAAGAGTCCATGGAAAAAAATGAAAATCGGTCTCTGCTCTTGGGGAGGGTGTTGGCAGATCTAGCAGTGTGTGAAAAAAAATTTTTTTTTTTAAGACTCCCAACCTGGCTGTGGGATTAAGTTCTTGCTGCTCTGGGCACTTTCTAAACCACTGAACCTCTTTTCAGGCCTTGTCTCCCTTGGATCTCTCTCAGGAGAGCTGTCAGTTCCCCTCTGTGCCTGCAGCCCCAGGGTTGAAACTCCTGGGCTTGTGCTTGGGGGCAAGAGTCCTCAGCCACTGAGCTATTTTCTGGGTTCCCGTGGGAATGTATTAGTGGTAAGACTCAGAAACCGAATATAGTCACAGTTCTAAAGCAATGTTCTTTTCCCCAGACACAGAAAATAAAAGCCTCTAGAAATGGTATCAGACAATTTCCATGAGCATCCTGGGACTGCACACACAAGGGAGGTTTGATCATGTAGAAGTCTCTTCCCCATGTCCTCCTGTGAGAAGCCCCTCCTGGGGTAGAATTCGGGCTCTTGGTGGCAAGTGCACACACAGCATGAAACAAGTAGGGGGCTCACCCTGGTAAAGGAGGGGCCTTGCTCTGCTGAGAGTAGGCTTCATCTAATAGAATAGTGCCAGCCCCCTTTCTTGCCGTACCCTTCTGGTTACTGTTGAGGATGGGGGACAGGGGCCTGCTGGGGCAAGATCTACCTTATACCCTACCCAGATATTATCTTGATTCTGATAGAAATTATTAAAGCATAAATCATTGCATTCTATTTATTTTTTAAAATGGAGAAAGATTTTAATGGAACACACTTTACCTGGCACTATTCCACTTTCTCGATAGGCTTTTTACCCCTAATGCCTTAAAAAATTTTTTTTTGTTATAACACCATGAGATACAGTTACAAAGTTGTCCATGATTGGGTTTCAGTCATATAATGTTCCCACACCATCCCTTCACCAGCGTACAGTTCTCACCACCTGTGCCCCCAATTTCTATCCTTCCATCCCCACCCCGCCTCTATGGCAGACACTTCTCTTCTTTCTCACTCTCTGTTTCAACCCTTAATACTTTTTATTAACCACCTTCTTCTGCACCCCTCCCCCTCAGGATGGAGCTTCCCAAGCAGTGCTCAGGGAACCATTCTTGGCAATATTTGGCCAACACGGCTGGGGGTCAGTGCTGAGGGTCTCAGGATGCTGTGCTGTGGGTACCTGCAATGCCTGGGACTGCCCAGGTCACCCCAGGGTACTGCATCCAGCAGTGCTCAGGAGCCACATGCTGGGGACTGAATTGGGGTTGGGCTACTCCAGTAACCTACGGAACTAGTTTCCTGGCCCTCTGACCATTTTGTTTTTTAAACCCAGAAGACAGCATAAGTGACTGATGCTTTACAAGCTCTTTGCTAAGCAAAGTTCTTTCCCTTGGCCCAATGGGTCTTCTCGGTAAGATCAGGTCACCCACCCCAGGCCTCTGGTCACTTGGCCTGTCACTGGCAACAAGTGAGCCATCAGCAGGGCTGGCATCAGTCCCACCTCAGAAGCGGGGCCCAGGTCTCCTAGGCTGAGGGAGCGGCTCTGGGGGGTACCTGCTCCCTCAGGCAGCTGCTCTCTTCCGCTCTCAGGGGCTGAAAGTCTTGAATCAGGGTGGGCTCAAGCCTTATTATGGAAAGATGAAGAATGCTTTTGCTACAGGGGAAGCCAAAGGACTTGCAAGGCAAACTGTGGGCAGTTGCTGACACCTGACTTCAGCCCTGTTCCAGGAGCTCGCCTAGAACTTGCGGGGGGGACCCCTTTTGCCCCCCAGGTTCATGGGAGCCCTGCCTGCTCATTGGCTGTCTCACGCTTCAGAGTCTGCTGCCTTCCCTCTGTGGCTTTGTGAAGCTGTCCCTGCTGCGCGCAGCCACTCACTTGTAGAAGGCCTGGTTTTCTATCCCACATTTCCAGAGGTGCTTGCAGGCTTCTGGAGTTGGAGCAAAATATGTGAGAATAATTTTCTTTTCCTACAAAAAAAATTGCAGAGAGAGAGCTGAGGGTAGGTGGATCAGTGAAAGTTGAGGCAGCCGTGTGACAGTGCCCTTGGAGCTGCCTGGGGGCTCCCCACAGGCTCCCCTGGGTGTCAGGGGAGCAGCAGTGGCTAGTGGAAGAGGAACCATTAGTCAGGTTCTGCTGCACAAACCCACCATGAGGGCCCTTCTGAAGGCTGATCTCTCATGGGAACTCGGCGAGTTTGCATTTATTTTATCATAGGATTTTCCTTTGGAAGCAAAATCAGTAGTCGTAGCAGCAACAAAAGACCCTCTGGATGGGCCAGAGACACAGTACAGGGAGTAGGGTGCTTGCCTTGCACTAGGCTGACGGGGGTTCAATCCCTGGCATCCCATTTAGTCCCCTGAGCATAGCCAGGGGTAATTCCTGAGTGCAGAGCCAGGGGTGACCCCTGAGCATTGCTGGGTGCAGCCGCCAAACAAAATATAAACAAATCCTCTGGGTGTCTTCAGCTTCCCTGAGGAAGTCCCTTACTTGGGCCCTGCCACCCCCCACCCCCTACCGACCAAGGTCAGGCCATTGCAAATGACTTCCCCTATAGGCAGTTGAGCTCAGCATGTCCTTCTGGCAAGGAACCACCCCTTGCCCATATCCCCCCACCCCCCCTCAAAAAAAAGAGAAGGAAGCCAGAACGCACCTCTTTCTGACTTACATATAGATGGAAAGTCTTCCCTTCAAACTTCAGCTTGGTCACCTCATTCCTAGAAACAGAGAGAAAGCTGCCGTTACCCACCTGGGGACTGCTGGCTCAGAGCCCCGGCTGGAGGGGCTCCAGACTCAGCCACAGTTTTAGCCGAAATTAGAACAGAAACAAGACAGCAGTGCAGTGGCCTCAGAGAACAGGTGTTGAAACAATTCAATCTGCAGCTTTCTGGTCAATCACGCTCTAATAACTGGGTGATAGGAGGATTTTGAGCTCATCAATAGAGGCCAAAAAAAAAAAAAAAAAGAAAAGAAAAGGGAAACGTGTGCACAGAAAGTGAGTCTAGGAAGACAGCCCGGGATCATTTCAGGAGTTAGCTCCCACATGGGCCACTTTAAAGGATATGACTGGAAATTGCCAGCCGATGAGGCCAAGTTCAAGATACAACAAGTCATGAAAAAACAATGCCACCATGTTTGGAGGGAGTGGAGGCTTTCAGGTGGCTGTGCCACTCACTGGATGGAAAATGCAACATTAATGCAGACAAATATAAAGATCTTGGGGAGGAGTTTGGGTGGGGAGAGAGGGAAAATGGGGACTGTCTTTGCTGCCCTTCCTCAGACCAGTAAATACGGGACAGGCAGCTCGGCAGAGGAGTGCCAGAGGATGGGGGCAGTGGGTGCTCCACGGCACCTTCAGCAGAGAGCTGGCCAGGAAGGAGCATTGTCCCTAGAGTCTCTACTAACTGGAGGCGTTGGTAGAGGGACCAGGACAGAGCAAGTGGGCCAACAAAGGCTTGTGAGTGAGGCCTCAGAATTGACAGGGACTCAGAACTTTGGAGACTGCAGCATATTCTGATGGTTTTGGATGATGTCTGCATGGATCAGAAGGGGTCTGCAGCAAAGCCAGATGTCCAGGCACACACCAGTTCCTGGCACAGACCAGTCTGGGCCTCACCGATGCCCAGAGTCATGCAGCAGGACAGACTCAACAGATGGTCAGTGAGGACACGGTTCCAAGTGGGGCAGTAGCAGCTGGGTTTCTATAGGCAGAGCCCACAGTGGGCGTCACCCTGTGGAAGGTGTTTAGGCCAGCAGGGCAATGTGAGGTGCAGAGCCGGGTCATCCACAGATACAGGCTGTCAGTGGAACTTTTGCTTCCTGAACGTGGATTTCTGCTCCTGGTACCTCGTCCTGTCCAGTGATCAAGTCTGTGGGATCTCAGGAACACCCCTTGGGAGAACAGGGTGCCTAGGGGAGACCACTATTTTACTTAGTCATGTCATTGACTCAAGGCATACAGAGGGCCCAGAAGCATGACTCCCTGAAACAAACGAAGGCCATGGAAAACACAGCCCTCTCCCCAGGGAGGCAGCATGACTGATTTGCAGATGAAGATGCTCACCATTTAATGAAGTGGACCCTCTTGTTTCCTTGCAGAACAACAAAACCGAAGGGAGTGAAGGCCAGGAAGGCAGCATTTCCCGACACATCCTGCAATGCAGAAAGACTTCTCATCAGGGTCATGTAAGTAGGAAGGCTTAAGTGTGAGAGACAGTTATTTATCGGTGATGCAGGAGTAGTACTTGCTCACAGAGCAAGATCAAATGGAATCACAAGCCTCTGGGAGGAGTTTGGCTCTGTCCCATGTCTGGCTGCAGATGAGACAGTTATCTTCCCTGAGCCTCTGCTCTTCAGCAGATGCTTTAGATCACAATGATGGTCAATCTTAGAAGACTCTTGGGACTATTCAAAGAGATCAGCAAACTCTCATAGTTTGCTGGTGGGATCCTAAAACAGTGTGGTCACTTGGAAAACAGTTTGTTAAGTATGACGTCACTATGGGCCCCACAGTCTAAAATACTGAAAACAAGTTCACACAGAAACATAAACATGAATGTTTAGAGCAGGATTATTCATAACAGACAAAAGTGGAAGCAATCCAGATGTTGACAACAGTTGATAAGTAAAACAGTTGACAAGTAAAATGTCAAAATGTGGTATGTCCATACCATGGAATATTATTAAGCAATAAAAAGGAATAAAGTACTGTGACTATGACATGTTAAAACATGGATGAACCTTAAAAACATGCTAAGATGCTTAAACAAAGTAAGATGCTTGCCTTGCATGTAACTGACATGAGCATAGTAGGTTTGACCCCAAACCAAACCAAAACAAAACAAAACTCCATCATGCCAGGCACAGAGATGGCTTAAATAGTTGGAAACTACTTTTCACATCAGAAACCAGGGTTCAATCCCTGATCAGTACTATATGGGCCCCTAGAGCCTCACTGGGAGTAGCCCCTGGGCATTTCTGGGTATGGCCCCCAAACTGAAAAAATAAAACCCCCAAAATGATGTCAGGCGAAAGCAGTTAGTTACAAAAGGTCCAGGTTCTATGATTCTAGGGCAGGAAAGATAGTATAAGTGGTAATTGTCCTGCATATGACTGCTCTGGGTTTGATCCCCTGCACCCTGCATGGTCCCCTGAGCCCTGCCAGGAGTGATTCCTGAGTGCCGATCCAGGAATTAGCTCTGAGCACACAGAGTGTGGCCTGAAGAGAGCAACAAAAAAAATACACATGTTCTGTGATTCCTTTTGGGCGGGGGGAGGTGGGAGAAGGAAGCAAGTTTTAGGCCATGCCTGGTGGTGCTCAGGTGACTATATGTAGTGCTGGGGCTCAAACCCAGGCCAGTCACATGCAAGGCAAGTGCCCTTCCACTACACTATCTCTCCAGCCCCCTATGATTCCACTTGAACAAAATGTTCACAACAGGCTCATTCTGATACCAAATCATGGGGTGCCAGAGGCTGGTAGGGAAGGGGAAATTGGACACGACTGCTAGCAGGTACAGGGTTTCTTTATGGAGGAGGACTGGCCATCCTGCCTTGGGAGGGTTACAGCTGGGTTATGGTAAGAATCTGCCTTTTAAGGGCATGAAAGTATTCAGGTGACTGGGGAACTGTGCAAGGATGCTGGTCAAAGGTACCTGCAAACTTTTTTGAACCACAGATCAGAGGGTGCTGGGTCAGGGAGAGCAGTCAGGCATGGTCAGTGGGCCATGGCTGTCAGGGTCCCCTGGTCTTTCCTACCTTCAGCCTGTGCCTCCCTGTCCCCGATCTTCAGCCAGACCAGCCCTTGGGCAGGGAGTTCTGCTGTGAGGCCTGCCTCAGGGAAAATGCAATTTTGCTATACAACTGCTAGTTAGACCTACAGGTATCTGTAATCCAACTCTGGTCCTGGGGACACACTCTCTGGGGGTGCAGACATTCCCACGGATTTGATTTGTGTCCTTTCCTCGGTAAATCCCCCCCCCCCCCGACACACACACACACACACACACACACACACACACACGCACACCTCCCTCCTATGACCCAGCCACTTAACTTTTGCAAGCGCCTGCTCATCCAGTCCCTAAGCACAGCAAAAAAAAAAAGAAAAAGAAAAAGAAAAAGAAAAAAAAAACCTATTTAAAAGGAACCAGAATGGAGATACTGTGAAGACACAGAACTGGGTTTCCTCCTGGCTGCCCTCACTGTAGGCTGATAACACACTGCCAGGGGGCTGGCTTTGGAGGGGAAGGACCCAGGAGAAGGCTAAGGGCAGCTTATCTCACATTGAAGCAGTTCCAGAGAGACTAGAAACTAGATTCAGAAAGACACCTCAAGGGTGCAGACCCCCCCCCCCCCCACCTTTTTTTTTGCCTTCTGGACCACACCCAGCGATGCTCAGGGGTTACTGCTGGCTCTACACTGAGGAATTACTCCTGGCGGTGTTTGGGGGACGATATGAGATGCCAGGGATCAAACCCGAGTCAGTCATAGGCAAGGTAAACACCCTACCCACTGTACTATTGCTCTGGCCCCAGACCTCCCACCTTTGTACTGACACAAAACAGGCCTGCAGAAAGGGGACCAGGAATGTGGAACGTGGGGGGGGGGGGGTCAGAGGTACCAGTATGCAGAAAAGGAAGCACAAATGGGATCAAAAGTAGTGGGGCAGGGGTGGTGGAGAAGGGGGAGTTCCCCTGTGTCCTCTGGAACAACAGAAGAACAATAGAAGACGGGCACCAAGGATGGGGATTCAGGTCTGCATAAGATGAGATTAGAAAGCAGCGGGGGTGGGGGTCAGGTAAGGTGGGGGCACTGGACATATACCTTAAGCTGAAATGAAATGCAGGTACAGATGGGCCCCGGGCTGGAGCTGCTAGCTGGGGACTGGTGGTCAGACCATTTTACCCTGCCTCTCAGTGCCCATCCCCTCATTTCTCAGTGTCAGCATCTGTGCAGGTGCCACCCATCCCTGAAAACACAGGCTGGCAGCTGCTGACACCCCTTCAGGAATATGCCCTGTCTCCTCTCCCTATCGTTCATTCTCTTGGGGAGCAGCCCTTGGGGGCATGTGTACAGAAGGACAAGTTACATGACAGAAATAAGGACCCCATATGAGAAGAGAAGCGAAATGTATAGTTGGGACCTGTTCCTCAGACTTTCTGCCTTTTTTCCTCCCTGTACTGTCTCATCCCCTTGAAATCAGAAAGCCACCAGGGTTGGCCGGGGGGATGGAAGCAGGTATGGGGGGTCTGAGAGCGCCCCAGGGCCTACACCAGCCCTCTCGCCTCCAGAAAACAGCCCCAGGAATCTCACTCATATCAGCAGTTGTGAGGTAAACAATCTTTAAAGATCAGTATAGTTTCAAGTAATAAATGTACACAATTTTAATAATTGATGTCCTTACCCAAATGGAATACTTTCAATTTTTCATCCTGTGGAAGGGGCTTCAAGCTGTAATTAGAGCCCAGTTCTGCTTCATAGTTCTCTGAGTGACTGTACTTCTCCAAATCCAGGACCATTAGGCCACACCTCAAGGAACCCCATGTCCAGCTAGGAGAAGGTGATGGCCGGAGTGCCCTAGAGCCGCTGCTACTCTGCATGGCCCACGGCCCTTTAGAGAGGGTATGGATTTTTTTGTTTTGGTTTTTAGTTCACACCTGGCATTGGTCAGGGCTTACTCTTGACTCTGAACTCAGGGATCATTCCTGGCAGGGCTCAGCGGGCCATGTGAGGGTGCTGGGGATCGAACCTGGGTTGGCTGAGTACAAGCCAAGTGCCCTACCCATTGTACTATCTTTCTGGCCCTTAAGCGTGTTATTATCATATGAAAGAGACAAGAGGTGGGAAAAGAAATAACTTGCTCAAGCAATACAGCACATTCCTAGATGTTCCAATTTGATCCCTAGCACACCTGATCCCTGGAACACTATCAGTGGCCCCTGAGCACTATGGGACTAAGTATAATGTTCAGGCCCACACCTCTGGGCTGACAGTCCACCAAGAGTGGCCCTCAGGCATCCCCACAGCACCACTGGGCCCAGTTAAATGAGAACAAGAATATCTTTTCTGCCGGGTTGTGGTAGAGATGAGCTGTGGTAGTGGGGGGAGTGCAGAGTCTTCACAAGCAAGACCTTCTTTATGACTCCTGAGAAATACATGGAGGGGAGCTGCTCCAAACTGCAGCAGGCAGGCCAGGAGGCCACAGTTGGGTCTGCCAGAGACCATGTGCCAGCTCCCAGCCTTAGAGTCCCCCGCAAGGAACACAGTGGTGGCTCCTGAGGGTGGAGAGGACAGAGGTGACCCTGGCCTGGCCTGGGCTGCTCTACCTTCCTGCTGCTGCCATGACAGAGACAGTCTGCTGGGGAGGGGTCGCAAGTCAGCCTGTGCCAATTCAGAGCTTGGGCACTACTGTCTGCCTTCTGGATGTCCCACCCCAAACTGGCAGTTTCTCTGCTGTCTGGTCCCCTGGCCAGACGAGGAGATTCTGGGTAGAAAACAGTCACCGTGTGGCCAGGGAGAAGAGCAGCTTCTCAATCAGTAGCACAGGGCCTGGTTGAAGTGCTGTTCTGCTCGCATTTAATTATCAAAACGATTCCTCTTCTTCTGTCCTCCCTAGGGCTGCGTGCCCCAGATTCCCCGGGCCCAGTAATTGCCTCTCTGTTAATAGAAATCATCAGTATTTATTACGCCGAGTGCTCCAGCTTTCCTCAGCTCTCCTTGTAGCAACATTAAGGCGACTGCTTCGGTAGCATATCACCAAAGTGACTCTACTTAATGACAAGAGTAAAGGCTCCCGAACTGTTCCTCTTCCCTCAGGAGGGTGAGGGAGGCCTGAGCTAGAGCCAATGAGCTGAGGCCTGGGGCCGGCTCTGCAGCAAGCCCCTACACAACTGCGGTGTGGTGAGCAAGAAGGGCAAAGTCCAGGAAGTGAGGCTGGAAGTCTGGTGAGAGGACCTTGTCTACCTCTTCTGCAGGGGAAGACCCGGGGCCTTCTATTCTATACAGATCCGGATCCAATCCCTGGAGATCCTGATCCAGTTCATACAGATCGAGATCGGGTCCATACAGATCCTTGATCCAGTCTGTACACATCTCAACCCTACAGATTCAGATCTAGTCCATATCGATCCAGCCCATACAGATCTAGTCCATACAGATTCAGATCTAGTCCATACAAATCCTGATCTGGTCCATACAGATCCATTACATACAGATCTGTTTCAAATAGATCCAGCCCATCCAGATCCAGATCTAGTTCAGATCTATTCCATACAGATTCAGTCCATCCAGATCCAGTCAATACAGATATATTCCATACAAATCCACCCCGTAAAATATACAGATTAAAGGGGGTACGATACCGACAGCAGGTCAATCTGTACCTGTGAGGTGAGTGCATCAGCAGCCTGATGGTGCCTTCAGACTTCCAGATACCCCAAAATTGCTGCTGTGCCTTTGGCCAGACCCCAAAAACTTGGGGCAAAGTTTACCAAGAAAGTAAACGGTCAAAAGTTAGGTATGTGGGAAACACACCCACAAACCACCTCCGGCTCAGCTATATAATTGGAGGCAAGGCCTCTTTGGTTCCTGATCGAACTGCTTAACGGCCATGATCCCAGAGACTCAGAAACAAATCTTGAAACCCAACAGCTTTTGGCAGAAATGCATCTGGTCCCCGCAGTAGGTTACCAGCGCCAGGCCACCCCTGGTGGGAATAGGTTTTGTGCCTTGGCCTGTTCCCCCTGGCGGCCGGTGGCCGTCATCCTCCAGAGGCCACTGGACAGTCAGGTTTGGGCCCACAGTGACGAGACACGTGGGGCCTCACAGGATGGGGGTAGAGTTGGCCCTTTCCTCCCCATCCCAACAAGACCCGGAGTCGCCGCCCACAAACGGCCTCTCTGGCTCCTGATCAAGCTGCTTAATGGCTATGATCCCAGAAACTCAGAAACAAATCTTGAAACCCAGCGTCTTTTGGCAGAAATGCGTCCAGAACACATAGTAGGTTACTGTAGCCAGGCCACCCCAGGTGGCAAAGGGTGCTGTACCTCCACCTGCTCCCCCTAGGTGGCTCAGTGGCCACCATCTTCCAGAGGCCATTGGACAGTCAGGTTTGGGCCCGCAGTGATGAGACACACAGGGCCTCACTGGATGGGGGTGGAACCAGCCCTTTTCTCCCCATCCCAACGAGACCCTGAGTCGCTGCACACGAACAGCCTTTCTGGCTCCCGATCAAGCCGTTAATAGCCATGATCCCAGAGACTCAGAAACAAATCTCAAAACCCAGTGGCTTTTGGCAGAAATGTGTCCAGTCCCTGCAGTAGGTTACCGGTGCTGGGCCAACCCAGGTGGGAATAGGTTTCGTGCCTTGGCCTGTTCTCCCTGGCAGCCTGGTGGCCACCATCCTTCAGAGGCAACTGGACAATCAGGTTAGGGCCCACAGTGACAAGACATGTGGGGCCTCATGGGATGGGGGTGGAGCTGGCCCTTTCCTCCCCACCCCAATGAGACCCCGAGTCGCCGCCCATGAACAGCTTTTCTGGCTCCTGATCAAGCTGCTTAATGGCCATGATCCCAGAGACTCAGGAACAAATCTCAGAACCCAGCAGGTTTTGGCAGAAATCTCTCCAGATTTACGTATTAAAATTTTGGGATTTCAAAATCGCGTGTCCACTACTGCAGCCACGCGGCATCATATGTTATTCTTAACCAGCAATAGAAAAAACAAATTGTCTACTGTTGCCTTTTCAGCAGATCTGAGTGTTGGGGTAAAATCCCAAATAATAATGGTGGGTCTGGTGTCAAAATATTGAATGTAATCAAAGTAGAGAGAGAGAAACATGGAAATCCTCTGCCCCACAGGTAGGGGGAGGGTGTGGGATGGGAGTATACTGGGGTTTTTGGGGGTGGAAAATGGGCACTGGTGAAGGTACAGGTGTTTCATTGTATGACCAAGACTTAAACTCGAAAATTTTGTAACAGCTCTCACGGTGATTAACTATCACGATCACGATCATCTGTTGTTCATTGATTGCCTTGAGCAGGCACGGTGATTCAATAAATAAAATTATAAAAAAGAAAAAAAATATATACAGATTTAGATCTAGTCCATATAGATCATGATCTAGTCCATGCAGAACTATTCCAGATGGATCTAAACTCTACAGATCATTTCCATGTGGATCTGATTCCACATGGATCTAGTCCATAGAGATCTAGTCCATATGGTTCTATTCCATACAGATTTAGTCCACACAGATCTAGTCAATTGGGAAGGAACCTGAGCACACATTCTTGCTCCCCCACTTCCTTGTAAACAGTGACCCTCCTGAAACTAGTTTTCTCTCTAGAGCAGGGATTACAGGGGGCTGTCAGGGCTGCCCCTACCCCTAGGAAGATGCTGCTGTGAATTGGAAGCAATATGGGCGTGGCATTCGCCTTGCCCAGCATCTGGTGTGCGGTCTGCTTTCTTCCTGTTACCTCCTCAGCCTCTCTCGGCCGGATGCTAAACCAGCTTATCTAGGACAGGCTGAGCTAGCAGCCCGCAGGTGCCTGTGGATTTGTGCTAGACACCAGGCTGGCTGTCTCAGAGTAGGTTCCAGAGCACCCTGGGCAGCATGATTACTACCTCTGCGGTACCCAGCTCTACTCAGCAGCCATACCTGTACCCCCTATGTCCATCTCATGCACTGTCAGGATCATGCTGCCTAGGGATTTGCTCCAAAGAGGGATACACTGTGTGTGGCCTCTGGGGAAAGTTGCAGAATGACTGGGTACCTGCTAAAGATCATTCTGGTTTTCAGACAGCTATCTATAAAGTGGTTTGCTTTTTAAAAAAAATATCTGTTTTGCTTTTCAGCACCAAAGATTGAAGTTAGGACTTTGTATATATGAGACATACGCTCTATCCCTAAGCTCTAGCCTTGGCCAGGGGCAGCTGTGTCTTTTAGGGTTAAGAAGCGATTTGTTGCTGTGTCTTTTAGGTTCTGAAATGATTCGGTAGACCTGGGAACAGTAAGACCCAGAGAAGTCGCTGCAGGCCCCAGTTGGTAGAAACCCTGCTGAGTGCAGAGCTCTCTCTCCAGGCCAGGCAGAGCAGCATCGAGTGCTTTGTAGAGGATAATATTTAGGAAGCTTGGCTAATCCATTTCCCAATACCATACGCAAAATTCTGGGTGTAAACAGGCATGAATGTATGCTCTGATGTGTTGGCACCAGAAAGAGAAAAGTTATAGGTTAGAAGGCTGTGCTGGTCGGGAATAAACTGAAATGGAGGGTGAATGGGGCTTCTGAGTGTCCTCAAAGTTCCTATTTGAAGTTTCAGCATAAACTCTCCAGCAGAAGCAATTCCACAGGGCCCAAGAACTGCCTCCCTGTGCCACGCCCTCTATCCCTTGCTTCCTACTCTTGGCTTTGTATTTCTGTAGAAATGTCCCCTCCACTCTGGACCCCCTAAAGACAGGTCATCGCCCCCAGTTTGTCTGAGGACCAGTTTTACATGTGCTACGAGGCTCTCTCTCTCTCTAGTAGTGGGGAGAGTCATGAAAAAATATGAGACTAGGAATGTCAGCATGGCTGGGATGCGGAGGAGGGGTGGCTGCCTGTGCTCCGCTCTAAAATGCCAGACAAGCATGCACGAGCAATCAAGGAAGTTTTCTCTGGGCAGTGCCTCCCCGGCGGGGTCCTATCTTCTCCTTCCCAGATGCATAATGAAATTAAATGCCACTCTGCCACGGTTCTGTGCAGTGACTTATGCTGCTACTGTCAATAAAACCCATTCTTGGAAAGGAATGAGATTACAAGTCACAAAAAGGGTGGGCTGTCTGCAGAGCCACCAGGGGTCCTATGCTGGGGCCTCTCCTCACCACCACTTAATCCCCCACTGCTGCCAAAGCAGGCCCCAGGTTCTCATATATTATGGAGACGAACTTTGCCTCAGACCCTTGGACATTGCACTAGCCCCACACAATGATGCAGCATGGAGGTTTCGGCCTTTTCTCTGGTTTTTATCACTGAAAAAGCCACGCAGGACCCTGGACATAGAGTTGTGGTTCCCTATAGCCTGTTACCCTCTGGAGGCATGTTCAGTGCAGCCTCCAACCCCATGTAAGCATTTCCTGTGTATACATGTGCGTATGTGTGCATGTGTGTTCTTGTTTATATGTGTACAAGTATATGTGCATGTGCATGTGTATGTGTGTGTGTGTGTGTGTAAAGCGGGTGAGCCTGGGTGCATGTGAGTGTGCATGTGGGCAGGTATCTTACCTTACAAGGGTGAGGGTCTACTCCGTAGGTCTCCAATGTCTGTGCTTTCCTTAAAAAGTTCAGCTCTGATATTGCTGGTGATTGTCCACTGAAACAAAAAAAATAAGGCGATTTCAGGGTCCCTTCCCATAACCCCTCCCTGCAATATCAACTGAGGAAGTGCTCAGGATGAACCAAGTCCCCTAATGCTCCCATGGACTGTTGGCTCTACTCTGTTCTCAGAACTACTGCAGAGATTCCTGTCAAGAGCCCAAAATGTGCTGTCCACTGGGGCAGATAAGCTATGTAAGAAATGGTATGGGCTATGTATAAAGCCCAGGGAGCGAGGGGGGCTGTGCCAAGGTGGGGAGTGCTCCACCATCAAAGGCGGGCAGCTGCCCCAGGCGCTGGTATGATATCTTTGTGGGAATGCAGGGCCCAGCATTGCTAGATGTGATTTTAAACACAGGATGGACTGGAGAGACAGTATAGGGGTTATACTAAGCATTAAGACAGTTCAGTGCTTGCCTTGTATGCAGTCAACCATTCAATCCCTAGCACATATAGTCTCCTGAGCACCCTCTTCGGTGATCCTTGAGTGCAGAGTCAGGAGAAAGCTCTGAGCATGGTTGGACGTGGCCCAACCCCCCGCCTCCTACCTAAGCCCTCATAATTTAAAATATCAGAATTAAAATTTTTAAAATGTATTTTATAATTTCCAGTACTGTGGGGGCAAACAAAACACATCTGCAGACTGCTTCAGGCTCCAGGTTTCTTGTCTGATCTTACTGAGATTGAATTCAAAGAATGGGCTGTGTTTCCTGCTGATGTTGCCTAAACCTATTCATTTACCAAAATGAACCGGGAGGTGGAGTGTGAAGATGCTCAGGAGATAGTGCTGAGCATCTCACAGCTGTTTGTTCACAGGATGCCAGCTAGGGAAAGGAAATCAGCAGAAGAGGGGAGGAGTCCAGCCCTGAGCCCTGCTGTCTGAAGAATGCAGCCTCCATCATCACCCCTTCTCTGGCTACCTCGGGGGTAGCCTCAGCTCCAGGCTTGTGGCCAGCTCTGTGGTGAGGGGGCTCAGCAGCATGTGAAATCAATGACTGGTGCTGGCAGGACTGTGAGGCAGGCGAGCCTGCCCTCCTTTCTCTTCCCCTCCCCTCTCTTTCCCTCCCCTCCCCACTCTCTCCCTTCCTTCCTTTCTTTTCCAGCCTCTGTGTGTGTTGTCCTGTAAAATAAGAGATAAAGTGCACATTCCAGGCTCTCAAGTGATAGCTGGAGAAACAAAGTCTTGCCATTAGAGCACGAGGCTGAAGCCTGGTCTATGGGAAGCAGTGCTCTGTGAGTGAGGGTTCTGCATCCATCAGGGGCCCGGTCACGGGAAGTGGTTTGGAGAAGCCCCACCCCACATGCAATGGGCTGGGAAAGAGGGAGTTGTCTACTGCTCCCTTCCAAGGAGCTTCCTCACACCCTGTCCAAAGGTTGGCGGGCCCACGGAGCTCCATTTACTCCTGGAGTTGGCTCCAACCTCCTGTAATCTCTAAAGTGGGCATTTCCTATGAGACCCCAGGCCTTGTACTAGGTTTCTGGTGGAAAAAAGTCCCCACAAGTAAAGGGAACAGCATGCTCGTGATGGGAGATGTGTGCTGAAAGTAGACTATAGAGTGAACACAATGACCACTCAATACCTCTATTGCAAATCACAACACTCTAAAGGAAAGAGAGAGCAAAAGGGAATGCCCTGCCACAGAGGTGGGGCGGGGGGATGGAGTGGGGGGTGGTAGGGTTACTGCGATCATTGGTGGAGAATGGGTACTGGTGGGGGGATGGGTACTAGATCATTGTATAACTGAAACCCAAGCACGAAAGTTTGTAAGTCTACAATTGTACCTCATGGTGTTTTACTAATAAAAATTAAATTTAAAAAAATTAAAAAAAGAAGAAAAAGTCCCCACAGAGGTCACGAATTGCCCCCCAAGAGCGGCTCTCTGGCACGGCCATAACACCAGATGCACAGAAACCAATCTCATAATTATATGGCTCTTTGCAGACTTACCTAGTAAAATATCAGACATCATATGGTTCTCATAACAAGCTATAGAAAAATTATTTCACAACGCCTTTTCAGCAATTCTGATTGTTGGGGGGAAATTCTGAACAATAATGGTGCATCATTTGTTGAAATAATGAATGTAATCAAAGTAGAGAGAGAGTTAAGTAGAAATCATCTGCCTCATAGGCATTGGGAGAGGTGGGAGGGGGGTATATTGGTGAACAATAAGTACTGGTGAAGGGAAGGCGTTTGATCATTGTATGACCAAGACTTAATCTTGAAAGCTGTGTAACTTTTCCCACAGTGATTCAATAAATAAATATAAGAAAAAGAAAAGTCCCCAATGCTTTGAATCCCCCCCTCTAAAATACTCCTGGCAATGCAGCCTGGCACATGCCCACCTCAAGGTCCCAGCTCAAGCAGTCTGTTTATTCAGTTCCTGACCACACGGGGTCGCTCTTCCCCTAAGAGTGATGGGGGGAGCCGGCAGGGCAGGGAAGAGCTTTCGGAGATTTCCACCTCTGCTGTGTGTCTCCAACACCTCCTGGAGAGTCCGCAGCAGGTTCTGCCTTACGCAGCAGAGGTGTGATTAGAGGGCTAAAGAGGGGGGCCGGTAGAGCTGACACCACATATGGTCCGCTAAGCCTGCCAGGAGTCATTTCTGAGTGTAGCCAGGAGGAAGCCCCGAACACAGGGAACATATTTTGTTGTTGGGCTTCACACTTGTGGCAAGGCATGTGCTCTACCTCTTGAGCCTCATTTCTCAGGGGCTCTGTGTGTGTGTGTGTGTGTGTGTGTGTGTGTGTGTGTGTGTGCGTGGTGTGTCTAAGGGGGTAGTCAGGGTAGAAACTAATTTTAACTTAATATTATTAGGAATATTTCCCCACCTTGGGCATTCCCCTTTTCTAGAAAGGTAGCTTTATAAACACTTTAATTTTTTAAAAATTTTTATTAGCGAAACACCATGAGGTACAGTTGTAGACTTACAAATTTTTGTGCTTGGGTTTCAATTATACAATGATCGAGTACCTAGCCCTCCACCAGTGCCCATTTTCTACCACCACCGATCCCAATATCCCTTTCACCCCCCATCCCCCCATCCCATCCCACCCTGTCTCTGTGGCAGGGCATTCCCTTTTGTTCTCTCTCTCCTTTTGGGTGCTGTGGTTTGCATTGAGTGGCAACCATGTTCGGTCTATAGTCTACTTTCAGCATGCATCTCCCATCCTGGGAGGATCCTCCCAACACCTTTATTTGGTGCTCCCTTCTCTGTCTGAGCTGCCTTTTCCCCTAGCATGTGCGGCTGGCCTCCAAGCCATGGAGTGAACCTCCTGGTACTTATCTCGGCTATTCTTTGGAAACCCTTTAATTTTTAAAGATGACAATTGCTGTGATGTATTAAAAGGATGGTCTGCTTTGTTTGTGCTATTACTGTGTGGCATGGAACTTTGCCTTGATTTTATTGGACTGGGAAATCTGAGCTCCAGCGGGCAACACAACATGGACCATGGACATCTGACGGCCCTTGTTTCTTTATTCAGCGTTGTTTATTTGTACCTGCTTTTGTGGGGAAAAACATGCATCGATACTATTTCATGGGATTTAGCATCATCTAGGGAAACCCAGAGAAGCTGGAGAGAACAAGCTTGGAGCTTTCCCCTCTTCTCCTCCATCTCCTGGAACAGGATGTGGGGCTGTGTGAAGGGTGCAGACACCCCTGCATGTATGACTCAGCCTCCTCATGGTCCCTGGAGCCAGCTGTCATGCTCCTGCAGGCTGGCGGTGGAACCTTGCCCATCTTCACATCCACACTCAACCTTTCCTCTCTTCCCTCTCTCCTGTTACTCCTTTTATGTTTTTCTTTCCTTTCCTCCAGTTTGTGCTTCTTTCTTGTTTATTTTAATGGAACAACTACATCTCTGGGATTATTCCGTTTTTCTTTTGTGTGGGGGGCAGGGGGAACAACTGAGCAGTGCTCAGGGATTATTCCTGGCTCTGTGCTCAGCAGGGCACCATATGTGGTGCTGTGGTCAAAGGTGATGGACCATGTACAAGGCAAGCACTATTAAGTATCTCGTAAGCCCTTCTCTCTTGTGTTTAAGCCTCAGCCCAGCTACTGGAAGGTTAGCTCAGAGACTGCAGCGGTTCAGGTCTGAGTGAGCAGAGGGAGCCAGTTTGCTCAGCTGTGGAGCCAGTTTATTGAGCTGTGGGCAAGACAAAGTTCCTGGGCCTGAACTGGTGCCACATACCTGAGTTCTGTCTTGTGAATCTCTGCGATTTTCTTCTCCAGCTTCTCTGAATGTTTTGGGAAAAACTGGAACTTGGAACTGTAACCTTCAGGATGCTTCCCTGGATCATAATCCCCAATCTCCGCTTGCAGAAAGGAAAAGTAGAAGAAAACCGTGAGGGAGAGAGGTTAATGGCACAGCAACAGGAGATGAGCACACAGAGGAAAAGCCAAAGCACATCCTGGACTGACACAGAAGCAGGGGCTCCAGAGTGTGGCCATGGGTCAGTGAGAGATGCCATGGGCCCTACAAAGGCATGAGCACCCTGGATTTTTTCTGTGCACACAGGGTTGATAGCGAGTCTAAGCTGGGAGGTAGGAGCGTTCCTGAGCTCTGAGGTCACCGGTAAATCTGCAACGAGCGTGCAGAAACCTCCAGCCCCTTCCTCACACAGCCAAGCCCAGGGAGAGGGACCAGGAGCCATTCGCCTGTGGCAGGCAACACAAGAAGCAGAGTCTACTGGGGAAGACACAGCCTCTGGGGCCCAAGACAGGTCAGAAGCCTACATAATACTTTGAAGATATTTAACAGGGACATAGAAAATTGATAAATGAGTCACAATCCAATTTTAGAACTCCACTGTTGGTCCAAGTGAAAGCAAATAAATACACCTGAAAATAGACATGGAGGGCTGGCCAGGTGCCACCAGGTCCCTCAGAGAGGATGGGAGAGTGGGAAGACTAGCTGTCATCAGAAGGTGTCCCCGAGTTCAGGAGATGGATCCTAAGGCTGAGGAGTAGGGGCTTACCCCTAAAGCCAGAGATCTCTGATAAGGGACCTCAGTGGTAGTTGCCATAGGAAGTGTTTCATCACGTGAAAACACCATGGCTGTGTGGCAAGGGAGGATGATAGAAAGTTTAGGACTGTTTTGCAGTTGTCCTTTCTCTGCCCTGAGAGAGAGCCACAGGCAGTGGAGAGGTTCAGTCTTTGTCTATAGTACAGAGTAAGAGAGAGATGTGCCTCCTGGCCCAGCAGACCAGAGTAACTGTGGCAGAATCTACTCCCTGGACCTCTAAGTTGGAAAGTTCTATCATTTAGCAGTAGACTAAAGGCTTCCCTGGGCCTAAGGTCTGCAGTGACCTTGAGCCAGGGGGTTGTTTATGATGTTTATATTTTGAAACTGAAGAAGCACCTTTGGATGCTCTAGAGTTGGCAAGCACCTTTAGACCAGCTTCCCGTTGAGGTGATTTTTTTTTTTAAAAACAGAAGCCTCAGAAATGAAAGTTGCAATGGTCTGACTTTTACATCTTTAAAGCAGCTGTGATATTTCTCTTGCCAGAGAACTTTAGTTTCTTCTTGGCAAGCATTTTCCAATTTTTCTTCACAAAATAGCATCCTGGAATTCACAGACTTCCGATTCTTTGATGGAAAGAGCGAAACATCCTGATTTTAACATGATGGTCTAAAATGATTCATTCAGTGGCAGTTTCAGGGCCAAAGACTAGGGGAAAACAAAGGACCGGCATTCAGAAGCCCCCAGTAGTTCATGAAAGGAGAAGTGGTCGTATCTGAAGAGAGCACATGGTCGTCCCTGATTTGCTCCACAAATCTGAGATTTGCATAAGGGAAAAAGAAAATGTTACTTTCCGGAGTCGCAATAATTTTATTGACCACAAGCGCAGGAAAAGGCTCCCAAATGTAGTCAGAATGACTTGCAGGAGGCTGACAGGAAGTTTAGGATTGAATAGTTAGTGATCTGGGGGGGGGGTCTAAGAGTTCAAGCAAACTCCTTTAACTTGTACTCTGCCTCAAGTTAGACACTGTTTATATCTGAGAAGTAGGCATCTGTGGTAATGGAAATAATGTAATCAGCATGTAGCATGAAAAGCAAATTTATCCTGTCAAAAGTCATTACCTTGAAGGATATAAGCTGCTAACAAGGCGGCATCTGATGTTTTACAAAGGAGACGGCCGTGGTAGAGATCCCTTTTGATCTGCAGGAAGACTAAATACCTGCAGTGAAAACAGAGGGAACTATAAAGGCTTTGATTATTTAAAGATATAAATATATAATATAAGCCTATACTATCTTTATCCAGACATTTTTACTACATCATCATCAATAACAACAACCACAATACAAAGTTCAGAGTCTACTATAGATTAAATAGGTTTTCTGTTTCCCAGGAGATTCAAGTACTTTAACCTGAACTGATTTGAGGTACTTGAACAGACAACTTGTCAGTTTCCTTTGTAACTCAGCAGAAATAGCACTTCCTGGTGAAAGCTCCCCCACCCTGCAACCCCACTTCTTCCCCCAAAGCCAGGCTTTTAAGGGAGCCAGCTGTCAGCACTTCAGCTCAAAGAAAGAAACCTGTGTGGTTAAGAGCAGGGCCAAGTGAGTTTCTCTTTGCCTTGGACTCTGGTGAATAGTGTGGAACAAAAAGGTTGGCCTCAAGAGATTTAATAATCTATCATTAAAGAGAGATAGTACAACAGGTAGGGCATTGCACATGGCCAACCCATGTTTGATCCCAGGGCACTCCATATGGTCCCCGGAGCACTGCCAGAAGTGATCTCTGAACACAGAGCCAGGAGTAAGCCCTGAGCACAGCTGGGTGTGACCCCCCCCCAAAAACAAACAAACATTATGTCCATAAATTCACTGAGACTACTTCAAAATCATAACCCTCTCTCCTTTGAGTGCTCACTGGACTTAGTGACTAGTTTGACAGGCAAAGCAGAAGTGATTGTATCCGACATCTGAAACTAGGGCATAAAGTCACTGAGCTTCCTTCCTGCACTCTCTCTCTCTCTCTCTCTCTCTCTCTCTCTCTCTCATATTCCCCTCTCTATTTTTTAAAAAATTATTTTCCCATTGATTTATCATTGGTTTCAGTATTATAGAATTTTAGGTGTTGAGCTTTACCTTCTATCTGTAATTGTTCCCACTTCTCCAACCACACTCCCAGTGCTGTCCACCACCAAAAAGACCCTCTGCTCATTCCTCCTGCCCCTTCCCCTTATCCCTCTGGCATCAAAATAGTTTTCACTGAGTCTTGGAGCGACTTTTGTTTCTTGCTAGTTTTTTGCTTTGGCCAATTTACATTCTCCACACAAGTGAAACCACCTGACAAGTGTCTTTCACTTTCTTACTTTTTCACTTAACATAATAGCTCAAGGTATCATCATTTTGTTCCAAGAAGACATGACTGCCTCTTTTTGTTTTGTTTTGGGGTCACACCCTATAGTGCTCATAGGTGTTTGGGGCATCATGTGGTGCAGGCAGAAGAATCTGGGTCTTGTGCAAGTAAAGCCTGTGTTCCAGTTTCTGCTTGACAACTCAATCTTTTTTAATGGCACGGTAGTAGCCCATTGGCTCTCTTTCTCCTTGACACTCTTTTTACTTGAGGATACCTGAGCAGTCCTCCTAAAAGTGCTGAGGGGATGAAGTCTGTTGGCACTAGTTAGGGTGGAAGCTTCTGTCTGCCACTTTGTGAAGCACCTGTCATGGCGTGGATCCCAGTCAAGTCTGCAGACAACGGCAGCACCAGTCCATCTCTTAATTTTGTTAGTTAAATTTTTTTTGGGGGGGGCAAAGAGATACCACAGCAGGTTGGGTATCTACCTTGCATGTGCTGACCTGGGTTCAATCCCCAGCACCCTATATGGTTCCCTGAGCCCTGCCAAAGTGATCCTTAAGCTCAGAATTAGTAGTAATGCCTGAACATCAGTGGGTGTTGCCCCAACCTCCGAATATTTTTGTTATTTAATTTTTAGAGTTACTTTTTAGAGTAGTAAAACATTATTACCAATATTGTTTTATACTATGATCTTTCTACTGCACCCACTTGAAAAAGACCAGGAGTCAGAACCACACAGCTAAGTTACCCGGGGATTCTTGATTCACAGAATCTGTGAGTTAATAATAAATCCTGACAATTTAAAGATGAGTTTTATGGAACTGGGTTAGAGAGTTTTAGAGGACTTCAGTATCCTTAGGGGAAGAATGGAAAGGTAGTAAAGTTCTCTTAAATTCTAGCAGTCTGAACCAAAAAGCAACCAGACCTTCACTGGTTTCTATTATCTTGTTCAGGCTGAAGAGTGAAACAGGATTCCATGCCAATTGGATCATGTGGAAATGCTGAGGAGGGGACCATTGGCAATACAACCTCTGCGGGTAGTGGAATTGATGGCAACGTGGGGAAAGAGCACCCACAGGGTCCCTGTAAGCCTGGAGCCTGGTGACTCAGATGAAAGAGAAATGAGGCCACCTTCCTCCTCAGGCCTTATGACTCCAAGTGTGGCCCACATACCAGGGGTATTAACAACACGAGGGAGCTTAGTGGAAACGGCAACCCATCATGGATCATCTGGACCATTTTGTTTTTTTGCTTTTTGGGTCACACCCGGCGATGTTCAGGGGTTACTCCTGGCTCATGCACTCAGGAATTGCTCCTGGCGGTGCTCGGGGGACCATATGGGATGCTGGAAATCAAACCTGTGTTGGCCATGTTGACTGTGTGCAAGGCAAACACCCTACCGGCTGTGCTATCGCTCCAGTCCCCATCTGGACCATTTTAAAGAGATTCCCAGGTGATATGCACACAGACTAAAAAAAGTTTAAGAAGCACTGTCCTAAGAAAATTCAAGAGCAAACAACAACAACAACAACAACAACAACAACAACAAAAAGGAGCTGGAGCGATAGCACAGCGGGAATGCACGTGGCCGACCCGGGTTCGATTCCCTGCATCCCATATGGTCCCCCGAGCACCGCGAGGAGTAATTCCTGAGTGCAGAGCCAGGAGTAACCCCTGAGCATCGCCGGGTGTGACCCAAAAACCAAAAAAATTGAAAAAAAAGTTAAAAATTAAAAAAAAAAGAAAATTCAAGAGCATACTTATGACTACATCAGGATGGGACAGATCTCCCCAGACCAAAGGGAAGGTAGTGAGAATTACCTGAGAGCATAAGTTGGCTAAAGCAAACAACTGATAAAAAACAAAAGTCGCTCCAAGACTCAGAGAAAACTACTGTGATGCCAGAGGGAGAAGGGAAAAAGTGATGCCAGAGGAAAAGGGGGAGGAGCAGGAAGAATGACCAGAGGGTCTTTTTGGTGGTGGACAGCACTGGGAGTATGGTGGGAGAAGTGGGAACAATTATGTATAGAAGGTTGAAACTCAACATCTAAAATTCTATAATACTGAAACCAATGATAAATCAATGAGAAAATAATTAAAAAAAAAAGAGGCGGGGGCTGGAGCAATAGCAAAGTGGGTAGGGTGTTTGCCTTGCACGCGGCCGACCTGGGTTCGATTCCCAGCACCCCATATGGTCCCCTGAGCACCGCCAGGAGTAAGTCCTGAGTGCAGAACCAGGAGTAACCCCTGTGCATCACCGGGTGTGACCCAAAAAGAAAATTAAAAGAGTAAAAAGAGAGGGGAAAGAGAGAGACAGACAGACAGAGATAGACAAACAGGAGAGACAGACAGACAGAGATACGGGGGTGGGGGCAGAGAGAGAGAGAAAGAGAGAGAGAAAGAGAGAGAGAGAGAAATGGAGGAAGCTGCAGTAACTTTATGCCCTAGTTTCAGATGTCGGACACAATCACTTCTGCTTTGCCTGTCAAATGAGTCACTAAGTCCAGTGAACACTCAAAGGAGAGGGTTAAGATTCTGAAGTAGTCTCAGTAAATTTTTGTTTTGTTTTTTTCTTTTTTGGGTCACACCCAGCAATGCACAGGGGTTACTCTTGGCTCATGCACTCAGGAATTACTCCTGGTGGTGCTCAGGGGACCATATGGGATGCTGGGAATCGAACCCGGGTAGGCCACATACAAGGCAAATGCCCTACCCACTGTGCGATCACTCCAGCCCCAGTCTCAGTGAATTTATGCACATGTTTTTTGTTTGTTTGGGGTTACACCCAGCTGTGCTCAGGGCCTACTCCTGGCTCTGTGTTCAGGAATCAATTCTGGCAGTGCTTGGAGGACCATAGGGGGTGCCCAGGAATTGAACCTGAGTTGGCCACATGCAAGGCAAGTGCCCTACCCATTGTACTATCTTTCCAGGCCTTTAGGCCATTTTTTTCATCTCTACTATTAACTAGGGTCCAAGGTAGAAAGAGACTCACTTGACCCTGCTCCTAACTGCACAGTTAGTGAGAATTCCCTCTTTAATCTGATCACCATGTTGAACCCACTCTGCCCAGCATTTGCCAAGAAAAATCTAAGGAAAAAGACATGTGGAGTGAATTTAGTGGAATCTACCAAATCAAGTTTGTCTTCACTCTGCTTCCCACAGAGAAATGCCACATGGTGTGTGGGTGAGAGAAGGAGGGAAAGGCACTGGGAAAGGGAGGAGAGGAGCCAGAGAGCCTGACACTCATCTCACAGTTGAGGGGAAACAGAAGTCCAGAGATGAGGAGTGACTTGTCTGAGGTGTCAGCAAAATCAGAATCAGGCTCTGCTGCTTTTCTGACCTGCATGTCAGTCAGTTATAGGGTCAGAGAGAGTGAAGTCCCACTGGAGGGTCAGGAGAACCTTTGTCATTGGAGAGAAGTATTGATGGAACCAAACATGAAGTCATCTGCATTGCACTGCACTGTCCTCCCGTTGTTCATCGATTTGCTCAAGTGGGCCCAGTAACATCTTCATTGTGAGACTTGTTATTACTGTGTTTGGCATATCAAATACGTCACGGGTAGCTTGCAAGGCTTTGCTGTGAGGGCGAGATACTCTCGGTAGCTTGCCGGGCCCTCCAAGAGAGAGTTTGATGAAGTCATCGATAAACCATATTTTAGACAACAAGCTGCTTCAGACCTTTAGTCACTAATTTTTTTTTTTTTGCTTTTTGGGTCACACCCGGCGATGCTCAGGGGTTACTCCTGGCTTATGCACTCAGGAATTGCTCCTGGCGGTGCTTGGAGGACCATATGGGGTGCTGGGAATCGAACCTGTCGGCCATGTTGGCTGCGTGCAAGGCAAACGCCCTACCCGCTGTGCTCCAGCC